TCTGTGGAGGACTTTGAAGACGTGGATATTTGTGGTGTTGGTGTCAGGTTTCCTGCTCATTGGCCTTGGAGGCTTCCTGGCTTACCGGAAAATTAACGAGCTGTCGAGGAATATTGGCCTGCTCCTGGAGCTCAGCGATGGTTTGCACCATGCTGTGAATTCACAGACTCACATAATTGTCGAGATGAATCGTAAGCTTGGAACTTTGGCCAAGATTCATTCATTGGCACAAAAGATGGATGCCATCAAGGATAGAGTGGACAAAAGATTAGGATAGATTAGACACTGGACACCCCCAGATAGATTGGGCTGCATGGTGGCGCAGTTGTTAGCACTGTTGCCTTGCAGCACGAAGGTCGCAGGTTCGAAACTCGGCTGCGGCCTTTCTGAGTGGAGTTGCATGTTCTCCCCATGCATGCGTGGGTTTCCTCTGGGTACTCCGGTTTCCCCCACAGATCACAACATGCCCTATAGGTTTCCCCCACAGATCACAACATGCCCTATAGGTTATAAAGTAAGTCGCTTTGGATAAAAGTGTCTGCCAAATAAATAAACAGAAACAAACAGATTACCGGGTAATGTCCATTATTGGGATTTTGAGAGGCTGAGGACCAAGGAACTTTAAGACAGAGAGGAAATTATCTCTGTCTGACCCCAAAACAAAATTCGAATCGGAATCTGGCACCCTTGAGCCTGCAAGGCTACAACAAAAACTCCCCCCTCAGAAGATATGTGGAATGTGCCGTCGCTATGGCAACTCAACTCTGTCTCCTATCCCAGCCTGGGCGGGACTGCGGGAAGGCCGCCGAATCGTTCCAGGGTCACTGCAACCCTCCAACCCTAAATGCTCCTCCCCCTGTTCAGACTGAGGTGACATGCGCTGCTTGTAGTGGCTGCAGGAACCGAAGTGTGGATAGTCCCAAACCCACCACCCCACCTAGTGGACACTTATGTTGTGTGATGTCTGAAGTCTGTTGCATATCTGTCTGAGGTGTTTTTTTTTTTGCAGAGCAAAGCTGCCCTCCCGGCGGAGGATAACTCTGAAGTGCCTTTTTTCCCCTCCACCTGAACCAATCCTCATGTAACCCTCTTATCTCTATTAAGGTAGCACGACTCAGGGTTGCGAATGACCAGTCACCAATTCTTGTCATGTGTCTTACCCATGTATGTCTGATCTCTGAATTGTGTGTACTGAATCTCTAATTTCCCTCTGGGATTAATAAAGTATCTTTGAATTGAATTGAATTGAATTAGGTGGGTTCCTGACACAAATCCAGTTTTGAAGCAAAGTTCACATTTGTCATGAAGTCGAGTTCTGAGCTTTAGGTAGACCATTCCTGAATCTCCACATTTAACTAATTGATCCGGTCAGAAAGTATTACCTCGACTTCTCCAAACATATTGCTTGTCACTGTGACCAAACACCTCCATGTTTCTCTTTTCTGACTATATGAAGGGGTCTCTTTTGGAGCAGGAGCATCTTTCATGGTTGGCACAATCCCAGTAAATGGCGTACATGCCAGGCTCAGTGGTTCCGGAGCATCATTAACAACTTCCTCCCATCTGAGAGGGTACGATCACTATATATCAATCAGTCAAGGGCTGTCAACAAATTGCGTGAACTTGTTTTTTTACCCCTCAGCTATGAAAAGATTTCTGTAAATATCTAAGCTTGTGTTGAAGAGAGAGAAAAAAAACTAACTTTTAATTCATACTCGTGATTCTGTATTTAATAATTACTGGCGTTCCACCGTGGAAGACTGACCAAGTTAGTACCAGCTTTGTGCTTGTGATGAGTGAAGCTTTACTGAAAGTTGCAGTTGTGCTCTGTGGAACCTTGTTTATGTATTTGATGTATAGAAAGGCAGCAGAGTGAGTGGCAGGGCAAGCCCCAGCCTCAACCCCCTTTCAGGCCCATCCCGCAGAGCCACCAGGGCACCAGAGAGCTGTCATACAGTATGACCCGAACCCTCTGGAGACGTCAACTACCAAAGAGAAGAGCTCAGGAGAGGACACCAGCTGTTCCCCCCGTGTCCCCTCTTCTCCACAAGGCCAACAGAAGGTTCAGTACCAAGATTCTAACATTTGTACACAAACCGATCCAAATCTTTTATTAGAGCATCACACACTCTGCTCTGCAGCAAAAGAGAAAAATGCATCGAAAACCACAGCAGCCACATTTAGACCCATAACAGCTGTGTATCATCCTAGCTATAGTTAACAAGGGTGGGGAGTCTGTCGCAGGGAGCGAACAACAGAAAATTAACATTCCGTCTTCATTTTGAAATCAGCAATCTGTGGTGCTGTTGAGCAAAGCCTGTCTGCTGTGGTTACCCACACTCTTAATGTCTGAGCTCTCTTTTTATGAACTTGGCACAGAGAGAGATGCTGGGATGAGAGACGTCATCTCCTTCACCTTCCTCATGGACACTGGCCAGAATGACATACAGCACTGCAGTCATCTTTTCATGTCCAATGACAGACCTCCTGCATCAAATTCTCCATAAATCATCTGTTTATTTGAGCAGAGATGCAAAAAAAAAAAAAAACAAGCTGTCAATGCACCACACACACACACACACACACAATGATCTGTCGATGACCTGAGAAATGTCCCCATTGATGACGTCTTACAGGGTTGACGGCTAGTTGAAGGACTCTTTCTCTCTCGACCCACACATAGTAATGACTCTTTACTGATGAAAAAAGCACAAAACAAGTGACCTTGTGCTGTAAACTAACTTACACTACTTCAAACTGAAGTAGAAAAAAAAACTAACATCCAACTTGCATAAAAAGATATAAAATTGTTAGTAATTAGATTGAACACAATTCAATTCTAAGGATTGACTTTGGGCCATATGCAACCACTGCGTGGAGCTTCCTCCCAGTTAGTTTAGAAAAAGTTCAGTTCAAAGTTTTTCAACTCTAAATATTACCTATTTTTTTTATCACTGCTACACAAGAGTATTCAGAATGGCAGAGGCATATTGAAATAAAATTGTCAATAAATGTTTCCATATTTATTCTTCCTGCCTCCTAATCCTATACCTTATCCAGTAGTAACACACACTGTCAACCTAATGTAAAACAAATTATATATATTGTGAACAGACAAGCTTATAGGTTAGTTTTTGCTCTAATGCTGACAAGCATTTACTTCCTGTAGTGCACAAGGGTCTAACTCTGCATAGAAATTAGTCTATGGGTGGTCTGTTGTGTAAAACAACCCAATTTAATTGTTTTGTTAGAGCTAACCCTATGATGTCTATGGAGCCAACAGATCCTATTTGGGTAAGCCAGGAACGTCTTCCAAGAGCTGCAGTAGACTCAAATCCTCCAATGTGTGCAACAGATTCAAGGAAAGGACATTCACCCAGACAGGAGTGACTAATAAGATGATTAATGTTTTTAATTTCACCTGTCAGAGGACAGTGTTAGATTATTTTTATTTTTTCCTCTGGAGTGACGGGTCCATCCTGTCTTACACATGAATGTATGTGTGTGCGTGTGTGCATGCGCGTACTCACACACATACCATCTATACTCCTTATAATCCTTCAGTCAAGCAATAGAGATGCAAAAAGTTTTGCTTTTGTTAGCTAAAACTTTTAAATTCATCAAGAATTCTTGTTTGAAGAAATTCCAAACCAGTTTTTTCCTTTATTTGATTCCCACTGCAAAACAAAGTTTAAACCAAATGTCCACTTTTTATGAATAAAGATCTTTTCGAACAACTGAAAAGCGAAAAAGATTTCCGGAACTTCAAAAGAAAAATATTTCATCTGATCTCACATTAAATTCTATGGATCTAGTCAACTGGTTCCATTTATTTCCGTTCTTTTATAAACACAAAGTAGATAGCTAAGTTTGTTTTTATCCTTTTTTGTCGACTGGTATGGTGTACTGGTGTCACTGGGGTGTAAACCTGCCAACTAAAGATGGATAGCTGTAATTCCTGTATTCCCAGATCAATTTACATTCCCATCACTTAGAAAATTCAGTCTAAAAACAGATCCCTGCTCTGTGATAACTTTTTAGATCCGGTCTTATTTTTTTCATAACCGGTGACAAACATGGTCCACACCAGAGCAGAGGCTTCATGAATCACAGCTGAACCTATCACTGTAGATATACTAAAGTCTTCCTGTGCCATCTGTCACAAGTGATAATAGCCTCCACCTAATAGCACCTCCGCCCCATTAGCAGGTTATAAAACATGACCTCGCCTGACCTTTCTATTCTTAATAACAGCTCTTCATCACCTCAACAGCACACAGATGAGACCATTACTTCTCATCTCAAAGGAGATTCTCATATCTCAAGCTGCATGTTGCCTCGCAGCACAAAGGTTGCAGGTTCGAAACTCAGCTGCGGCCTTTCTGCGTGGAGTTGCGTGTTCTCCCCATGCATGCGTGGGTTTCCTCCGGGTACTCCGGTTTCCCCCACAGATCACAACATGCCCTATAGGTTATAAATTGTAAGTCGCTTTGGATAAAAGCGTCTGCCAAATAAATAAAAAACAAACATATCGGTCCTAAAAAATTTTAAAAGAAAAATTGCATGGGTTTGAAGTCTGTTTATAAGTTCATTTGTGTTCAAGTAGCACGGATTTGAATGAACAGCTCGTCTGTTTGTTGCACCACTCACCGACAGGTGGCTGAGCAGACTTTAAAACAGGTTGAGGGTGATATTAGCTTGTTGCATGGCGACTGCAATCCAGGTGATGCATCAGCTTATGGCAGGACGCCAGAGGCAGAGATGGGGATGGAGGTTGGTGCAGGCGATGGACGGAAGTGTAGCGCCAGCACTTGCCAAGATATTCACACGGTTATAAATCACACGTTTACGGCCGGCTGTAGTTCTTCACACTAGCCAACATTTCTTCTGATGTCAGCAGCACATTATCACATCTAATCAGACCCCAGCAGCCCATGTTTAGGAGATGGGAGATTGAAAAGCCCATCATTTCATCTCCATGAATTTAACATCACAAGCAATAAAATCTTGATTTTTATTGACCAGTTTATAAAGTTAGGTTCACAATCTGAACGCTTGGCTTGTTTATCAATAACATTTTATTTAATGTAGTCCTGTTTACGATGACCTACGTGTTCTGCAACTCTTTGTCAGACAGATGCAAACCCAACTCCTGCTGAGGCTTTGACAGTTCATTACATGAAAGTCACACTTGCACGCTGAAAGTGCACCATGTTGACAGAAGCAGGTGATAAATTTTAGCTAGCGTGGTGTGCAATATTTACAGTTGTGACCATTCTCAAGGATAAAACTATCATGAACGAGAAGAGACACTTTTACACACGTCCAATTCTCCCGCTGCGGAAAAACCACACAAACCATTCTGTAGCAAGTTTTGTCAAAATAGTAAAAAAAAAATCTTACCCAAAATATATATATTATATATACACTTTTCATTAATGATCATCCAGTCAATTTTGGGTGAATTGATGCAGTGAAACTGGAAAAGCAAAACAAGCAGGCACATAATCCTTAGCAACTTTAAAAAACACCCTCATGTAACAACTGCCCCTATGAACTAGTTAAGAAAATAAATCAAAACCATAGCATCCTTGTACAAAAGACAATTAATCAATTATAGCCATAAAAATAGGAGTACATGGTAAATATAATTCATATTTTTCATCTTCTAACTGTATTTACATATAAAGAGTGAATGATGCAGTGGACCATGATGCTGCACATCTCTCTGTAGCGTATTCTCTGTATTTGGTCCAAAAACACACATGTATGTTTTTCATTTACTGATGAAATGGCCACAAACTGAATAAATGAAAACTAAAAGCGGACTCTTGTTGTTGGTCTTTGTGACTTAAACACTGGAATGCCCAAAGCCAAGAAGTGTGAGTTTACCTTTTTTTGACACTGTAACAAACCGTTAACACAAAGCGCCCCGTAAACGTCACTGCCACCAGAAACCAGGAAATGGCTGCACATCAGCAGTCCATGTGATCCGCCTAGTTCCTCCCCGTGTCTCCAAACTCCTCTTAAAGGAGATCAGTGTTTCTTAGCTTCATCTCTGGGAATGTGGGGAGAAGTCCAACCCCATGAGGCAGGAGCGGAGGAAATGTTAATGTTTGAATGAAAATGAGGTCTCAACGTTTCTTAATGGCTGCCCCGTTGGAGTGAGGAGGGAACTTTGGCAGACAAGGCTCCTCCGCTCCAGCGTCATGGGAGAAAACAGAGTCCTCGCCAGAGGAGCAGGTAGAGCACCGGGTTTCAGGGTATCCAGGAGAATATTGATCCAGAGGCACAGAAAGCTCCAAATATTCCTGCAAAGAGAAACAGGACAAGAAATCAAACATCATCTGAGCGCTATAAAGGATCTGTTGCCCTGATGCACCCTCCTGCTTCCCTGGTGACTGAAAAGAGCCAAACTGACCTGATTGGAGTTCATGGCAAGACACCGATCCAGGTCCTCTACCAGCTGCTTGAATGTGGGTCTCTGGGAGGGTACCGCATGCCAGCAGTCCCTCATCATCATATACCTGCAGAGTTTATAAGATTCTACATCAAAGTCAGCAAAAATCTGTCAAACGTCTTGTTACCGATATGCTAAACCCTCCTGAACTAAGAAACATACAGTCAGTCTTTGAGGGTGGGTGACACAACTAAAACGGAACAATATGTTCCAGCTGGAGCTGCATGAACGCGGAGCATTTTCACTTCCTCGGTCATCACACAAACACTGTCAGGAAACATTATGTTGCCAAGCACCTGGAATTCCTCTGATACACAACAGCATTGGTGAAGTAAACATTAATGCCAACTGTTTGGCCGTGTGTTCTAAGTTAGGGGAGATTTACTGTCAGGTTTCACAGACTGAACCAAATATGGACACAAGTTTGTCACTAAAGGAAAACTGCTGAGTCTTACAGTTCGTGAGTGCACGTTGAAGGCTTGTCCATTCGATGGCCTTCCTTTAGCAGCTTGAATAACTCCTCCACTGGCACACCCGGGTACGGAGAGCCTCCCAGGGTAAAGATCTCCCAAAGCAGCACTCCAAAGGACCAGCTGAAGACAATTAGGGGTGTGTTCGTTTTCTGTTTTCTCACACTTCACTAGGAATTAACAGAGCGAGTGATGTGATATACTCACACATCACTTTGGTGTGTGTATATCCGGTCAAACAGAGCCTCAGGAGCCATCCACTTGACAGGTAAACGGCCCTGTATAAAGAATGTGTGTGTTATGGTTTGATCAGGTTCTCCAGAGTCTGAAATCTAAACCTTTGGTTTCCAGAAGACTTACATTGGTGGTCTTCTTGTAATAGTCAATGTGGTGGATGTCTCTAGCCAGGCCAAAGTCAGCTATTTTCATTACATTGTCTTCTGTTACCAAAACATTGCGAGCAGCGAGATCTCTGTGAATGCACTGAACCAAAAGAACAAAAAAAACATCATGTTATAAAGACAGAACCCAAACCACAGAACCGGTGCTTAAAACGGATCAAATGCTCCCAAACTGCTCCATCTGTTGTATTTCGTTACCTTTTTAGAAGCCAAATACTCCATGCCTCGAGCCACTTGGTAAGCACAGGACACCAGGTCTTTGATGGACATGTTCTCAACAGGAACCTGGTCTGGGTTGTAACAGTACTCCATGCCTGGAGGGCGTCGGGCTCGCAAGTACTCCCTGAGGTTGCCTTTGGATGCATATTCAACTATCACATACAGCGGACCTAAAATGATTGGAAAACATTCAGATGTGTTTTAATGCAGCCGTGTTCTGCTGAGCTAAAGCAGGGTACATGCAGGAATCTCAAAACTATATTTAAGACTTTTTCAAGACTTTTTAAGACCTTGTAAAAATAAAATTAAGTCTATCGCAAAGAACTAATCAACTGTTAAACACTTATATATTGTTTTTAAATAATGCATCACTTCGTTGTCCACTTCATGTTGGGTTACGTCACACCCGGGACAGCGAGGCTTTAGCAATAATACGTTAACCCACGTGGCACAAAAATGCAAACCGTGCGCATAGAAGAACAATATATATATATATTTTTTTAGTTTACATTTTTCATAGCCACGAACTCTGAGGCTGTGAAAAAAGTGACAACTAAAATAACTCCCCCCAAACAAGGTCCTCACATGCTGCAGATGTGCATCTATTCTACTGTGGGTTTTGTAGTGACCTCTGACATTTACATACTTTTATTTTATTGAGAATATTAAAAAAATAATAATTATGTGATGTTTTTGCAAAATGCAAGCAATTTTCTACCAATCATACTGTTCAAGAGAGCTAAATGTAATAAACTGAAATAACTAATCAGATCATGATTAGGGATCATCATATAATTATTAACTATTATTATGAAACTAATTCACAAAACACCAAACATAAAAACACCCAAAAATATTCCAAATTACTGTAATCATTCTTAAGTAGGATGACCAGATCCCAACTCACCACAAGTGGGACAGAGACTCTGGGACGTGAAGTTTCAATGTAACCAGATAAAATTAAAATGTTTTTTTAATACATGTATTTTTAATCTATTCTGCCTTTTATCTCTAACATGACTGTTAAAATAATAATAATAAAATTATTATATAATTGATGTCTTATATATTCTATTTCTATTAAACTTGAACAAGCAAACAGCAAAAGCTTTATTGCCGTTTCTCAGTTCCTCTCCAGTTGCCGCAGCTTAACTCAGACTGGACCTTCTACAGCGGCTCTGAGTAACTTTAGTTACAGTTACTTTAAACAATCAACTGATTTTATGAATATAGACGGGCCCACTAGAAAATAATGAAGGTTTAAGCAGCTTTTTAAAGTTTTCACTGAATATTTGTGCTGACTTTCCACAACAGAATGATAGTAAAAGTACCAGTAACATCTTTAGATCTATTTATGTTTATTTTCCACTAATAACATCTCGTTAACGGATCCAAACTGTTTTGCAAGTTTTTCTTCTTCTCGACTTCAAATCTCTTATATAACATGTAGGGAAGACGTACCTAAAGGGTTTAGCCTGTATGCACCTGAAACAACAACCGCAGCACCTCGTCTGTCAGAATCTTCTTTAGGTCAGGATGGACCTGTCTAATTACTGAGAAAGCTGTTTTTGACCAACACTTGAACTCTGGAGTGTGTTGGGAGGTTTGTAGAAAAGAACAGACCAAGAACAAGCCTGTTTGTGAAATGCTGACTGCATGTTAGACATAAATAAACGTCTCCAGGTGATATCGAAACACACAACAATGTTTATAAATGAGACGAACGCAGCTCTATTACGCAGGGTCTAAAATAGCATCAAATCAACAAGATATCAGAACTACAGCGTTTACACCTACTAGAAGATGCTTTACTCCAAAACAAATCCTGTAAGAGACAAATATCAAGAGAGTAGAATAATAAAAACCTCGTGTTGCCGTAATGTACAAGTCATTAGGTTTTCTCTGGGTTTTTTTAATCAGGATGTATGGGAAAAAACGGCCGCAGCTGTAGTTGATTCAAGCTGTGAGCTTGGAAACTGGTGTCAGAATCATTTATGCATGCTTTCCTACACATCCCCCAAAGTTAGGCTCACAGCAGCTTCCTTGTCTGAGGGACAACTGTGTGTGTGTGTGTGTTGTGTGTGTTGTGTGTGTGTGTGTGTGTGTGTGTGTGTGTGTGTGTGTGTGTGTGTGTGTGTGTGTGTGTGTGTGTGTGTGTGTGTGTGTGTGTGTGTGTGTTGACTGGAGTGGGTCAGTATCAGGCTCCTGCCTGTCTTATCCTACCATCCTGTGTGCAGGCTCCCAGCAGATTAATGATGTTCTTGTGCTTCCCAATGATCTTCATCATCTCCATCTCTGAGATCAGGTCTGACAGGTCTTTCTCTGTGGCATCAGCTGGAAAAAGCAGAAAACACCCCCATATTAAAATGCCTTTTCTCTGCTCTGAAGGCAAGAAGACCAACACTGAAGCTGTTAAGGAACAGTGTGTGTGTGTGTGTGTGTGTGTGTGTGTGTTAGAATGCACCCCATGGAAAAATCCCTAAGTACAAGACAGTAAATGCTACCTTCCCTCCATCTTTACTCCTCCATGCAGTTTAATGAACACAGTTTTATAAGGGATGTCAAGGGTTCTCATAAATTTTTACTCCACTCTCTCATTTGCACAATGGCAGGAACCCAACCGGGGAAACTGCTCATCCCAGTTCAAGCCGTTATTGTGACTAAACTCTTGACCCGATGCTTCCCTTAAGCCATTTTTACCCTGGAGAGTTTCATCCCTGTGAAAATCCATCTCAGCATCCACCACAGAAAGGTGTATTGAGCACCACCTTTTTAGAAAAATCTCTTTACTTACATTTCAACATTTTCACTGCAACCTTGGTCACACGGTTTGGCTTCTCCTTGTCCATGCCGAGCGCCTCCCCCATCACCACCTGACCGAAGCAGCCTTCACCCAGAGGTTTCCCCAGAACAAGTCTGTGAACACACCAGCAGTTCGGTAACTCAGCTACAGCCCTATACAACAGCTTCAATTTTAACTTTACAGGGTGTGAATTTAGCCATCTATGAGAAATGTAACAAATTAATTCATTGTTAAAAGGACTTTACGGAGATTTGAATTTTTATGCTCGCGATTGCCCCCTCAGGCCAAAAGTGTAACGGCAGCTTCAATAGTAGGCTCGTGCACGTGTCAGGTTCGTTGGCAGATCTGAAGCGTGACTGAGAGTTCTGTTGCCCAGACGCGGAGAGACGGAGATAGCCGGCGTGGTTATCTCCTGTAGGTGTAGTTTGAGTGTTTTGAGGGCTGGTAAGCCTGGAGACTCGATACAAAGTCTGGTGAGAAACGATGACTGAGCAATGAATGAAACGCCGGCACTTCCTTAAGTAGTGCCGGCGTGATGACGTCAGTCGCCACGTTGGTGGCAGGAATGAATGGAATGCAGTCAGCTGGAGGAGTTCGTGACAGGACCCCCCCCTCGAGGGACGGCTCCCGAAGTCCCAGGACGGCGGGCCCAGAAGTCAGTCAGCAGGGTAGGGTCGACAAACGAGCTCGTGGGCTCCCAAGAGCGTTCCTCAGGCCCGTACCCCTCCCAATCCACGAGGTACTGCCAACCTCGTCCCCGGCGGCGAGCGTCCAGAATCCTGCGGACCGTGTAGGTGCGATCCGCCTCAACACCGCGGGGCGGAGGCACCCGGACCGGTGGAGGGTGGAGAGGAGAGGAGATCACCGGCTTAAGCTGGGAGACGTGAAAGACCGGGTGGATCCGGAGAGTAGCCGGGAGGCGCAGACGGCAGGTGACAGGATTGATGACCTTAAGGACGGGGAACGGACCCAGGAAGCGAGGAGTGAGCTTCCGGGAGCCAGCCGGCATCCTCAGGTTAGCGGAGGAGAGCCACACCTGGTCGCCAGACCGGAAGACGGGGCCAGGCCGGTGGCGGCGGCGATGCTGACGGGCATACTCCGTGTTGGCCCGGGTGATGGCCGCACGGGCCCGGATCCAGGCGAGCCGACAGCGGCGGACCAGCGTCTGGGCAGCCGGGACCTCCACCTCGGGCACCTGATGATCAAACAGAGGTGGCTGATAACCGTAACAGGTCTCGAAGGGAGACAGACTCGTGGCCGAGGAGGTCTGGAGGTTGTGTGACAGCTCCGCCCACAGGAGAAAGCGGGGCCAGGTGGTCGGCTGGGACGAAGCGAAGCAGCGCAGGTAGCGTCCAAGCTGCTGGTTAGCTCTCTCTGTTTGACCGTTCGTCTGCGGATGGTATCCAGAGGACAGACTGGTGGAAGCACCGACCAGGCGACAGAACGCTTTCCAGAAGCGTGAGACGAACTGGGGTCCTCGGTCGGAAACCACGTCCTGAGGGAAACCATGGAGCCGCACCACCTGTTCCAGGAGCAGTTCGGCCGTCCTCTTGGCCGTGGGGAGGCCGGCCAGGGCCACTAAGTGCACGGCCTTGGAGAAACGGTCCGTGATAGTCAATATAGTGTCCAGGTGGTCGACCGCCGGCAGTCCCGTGACAAAGTCCAGCCCGATGTGTGACCACGGCCGTTTGGGCACAGGGAGAGGCTGCAACTCTCCAGCGCCGGGTCGGTTGGAGGACTTGGAGCGAGCACACACATCACATGCAGCTGTGAACTCGCGGACGTCCCTCCTCATGGACGGCCACCAGAGAGCCCGACGGAGGAACTGGAGGGTACGGGCTTGCCCTTGATGTCCCGCGAGCCGTGAACAGTGCCCCCACGTGAGCGCCTCTTGCCGGCAGGAGGCGGGAACGTAGAGGCGGTTCGGTGGGGTCTCCGGCGGCGCTGGATCGCCAGGAAGTGCCGCCTGTATGGACTGCTCCAACGGCCATTGGAGGGAGGCCAGGAAGCGTTGAGCCGGTAGAATGGTCCGAGGCTCCGGGGGGCCGGCATCTGGTGCGAAACGCCGAGAGAGAGCGTCCGCCTTGAGGTTCTTGGAGCCGGGCCGGTAGGCGATATGGAAGTGGTACGGCTCGAAAAAGAGGGCCCACCGAGCCTGACGTGGGTTGAGCTGGCGGGCAGTCTGTAGATGAATGAGATTCTGGTGGTCGGTCCAGATCAGAAAGGGATCGGTGGTCCCCAGGAGCCACTGCCTCCATTCCTCCAGCGCCCACTTTATTGCCAGCAGCTCTCTGTCGCCAACCCCGTAGTTCTGCTGTGTGGGGGAGAACTTCCGGGAGAAGTAGGCACATGGGTGGAGCTTAGAGTCTGGACCCCGTTGCGAGAGAACGGCCCCCGCTCCCACATCCGAGGCGTCCACCTCCACGACGAAGGGCCGGGTCTGGTCCGGGTGGAGGAGGATGGGTTCCTTAGTGAAACGTCCGACCAGCTCATGGAAAGCACTGACAGCCTCTGGAGTAAGGCGAAAAGGGCGAGGCTGATTGGTGGTTTTGGTGAGTGAGGTCAGAGGTGCTGCGAGGGAACTGAAGTTGCGTATAAACCTCCGGTAAAAGTTCGAGAAACCCAGGAAGCTTTGCAGCTGCTTCAGGGTCGTGGGTAGAGGCCACTGAGCCACGGCCTGAACCTTCTGGGGGTCCATCTTCAGGCCCTGGGAGGAGATGGTAAAACCCAGGAAGGAGGTGGACTCCTGGTGAAACGCACACTTCTCCAGTTTGCAGTACAGTCCATGATCCAGGAGGCGGGACAGAACAGCTCGAACATGACGGATGTGCTCTTCGGCCGTGCGGAAGTAGATGAGGATGTCATCTAGATACACAAAGACCCAGCGACCCAACATGTCTCTCAGCACATCTGTAATGAACCGCTGGAAGACGGCGGGACTGTTGCAGAGTCCAAAAGGCATCACCAAATATTCATAGTGGCCAGTGGGCGTGATAAAAGCGGTCTTCCACTCCTCACCTTCCTTAATACGGATGAGGTTATAGGCGCTGCGCAGATCCAGTTTAGTAAACACTGCGGCTTGTGTGATGGCGTCCAGAGCGGTGCCCATGAGAGGGAGAGGGTGGCGGTCCCGGATCGTTATTTTATTTAACCCTCGATAGTCTATGCAGGGCCGGAGATCCCCCTCCTTCTTTTTAACAAAGAAAAACCCCGCGGCCCCGGGGGACGTTGAGGGACGGATGAATCCCTTCTGCAGGGCATCAGTTATGTAATTGTCCATAGCCCGGGTTTCCGCCGGAGAGAGGGAGAACAGGCGACCCCGAGGGGGGGTGGTGCCGGGCTGGAGCCTGATCTCCAGGTCGTAGGGTCGGTGAGGAGGTAACCTGGTAGTGGGTTCTTTAGCGAAGACCTGAGCGAGGTCGTGGTATTGAGGAGGGACGAGCGTCAGGTCTACGTCTTTGGGAGGAGCTGCTGCTGCCCGAGGTGCAGGGGAGTCCCGGTGGTTATGGCAACCCGTGCCCCAGGCCAGGACTTTACTGGTGGACCAGGAGATGTGAGGCTCATGGCGGCAGAACCAGGAATGACCTAGGATGAGAGGCGTAGCCGGAGCCTGGATGACCAGGAAGTGGAGGGTCTCCCGGTGTTGGTCAATAGTCATGTGAAGACCCTGAGTTCGGTGGGTGAGAGGGTACGGCATGATGGGCCGGCCGTCCACAGAGGTCACGGGAATGGGTCGGTCGAGGGCGGTGAGGGGTATCTTGAGCCGAGTAACCAGTCCGTGGTCGATAAAACACTCCGCAGCCCCAGTGTCTAAAAGTGCCTCCAGTCTGGTCGGGCCTTGGTCCAGGTGGAGGGAGACCGGGAGAGTGGTTCGGTGTGGAGCCGGAAAAGTGGAGACTCCGGGCGGGACAGCTCCTACTCCGACCCGGAGGGACCTTTTCCCGGTCGTTTTGGGCACGTGCCACGGTGGTGACCCAAATCCCCACAGTAAGCGCATCTTCCCTCCTGGTAGCGCCGTGCCCGTTCCTCAGGGGGAAGATGTCCCAGCTGCATCGGCTCCTCCGTCGGTTGGTGAGCCGGCCGGCGGGGTGACGTCCTGGTGTGTACGGGGGCTGACATGGTGCTCGGCCGGTTCAGGATGCAGCGGTCCAGTTGGAGAGCCAGATCCACTGCCAGGTCCAGGGAGGTTGGGACCTCGTGCCCGATCATGCCCTCCCGGATTCTCGGTGACAGTCCCTCCAGGTAAACGGCCTTTAGGGCGGCGTCATCCCACCTCAACCGAGCTGCTGTCGTCCGGAAGCGAGAGGTGTACTGAGCCGCCGTCTGGGAGCCCTGGCGAAGCTGAAGCAGCCGCGTCTCGTCCGAGACCTCGCTGCTGGGGTGCACAAAAGTCTTTTTCATCTCCTTTACAAAAGTCTCATAGTCATTGCAGGCAGGAGATTTTTGATTGTAAAGAGCCGCCGCCCATTCACCGGCTCGACCTGTCAGCAGTGAGGTCAGCAGAGCGACACGAGAGCAGGATGTGGGGTAGCGTGCCGGGTGGCACTCGAAAGTCATGGCCAGGGTCGCCAACATGCCCTCCGGGGATCCCCTGGTTCCGTCCCACTTCTCTGGAAGGCTGAGGCGTGGTTCCATCCTGTCAGGAACAGCTGCGGTCTGACGTTGCAGAGCGGTGGTCAGCTGGAGTACTAGCTCGGTGAGTGACTCAATCTTTGTGGCTTGGCGATCAGCTATGGCACGGAGCTGGTTCATGTCTGCCGTCTGCTGATCCAAGATTGCGCGCTGTTGAGCCACTTCGGCACGCAAACGCGCGAACTCCGCTGGGTCAACTAGTGGCTCAGTCATCCTGTCAGGTTCGTTGGCAGATCTGAAGCGTGACTGAGAGTTCTGTTGCCCAGACGCGGAGAGACGGAGATAGCCGGCGTGGTTATCTCCTGTAGGTGTAGTTTGAGTGTTTTGAGGGCTGGTAAGCCTGGAGACTCGATACAAAGTCTGGTGAGAAACGATGACTGAGCAATGAATGAAACGCCGGCACTTCCTTAAGTAGTGCCGGCGTGATGACGTCAGTCGCCACGTTGGTGGCAGGAATGAATGGAATGCAGTCAGCTGGAGGAGTTCGTGACAGCACGAGGCGCGCATGCTGTACGTGCACACTCCTTAATGAAAATAACAGCTGAGACAGTCCTGTGTGTGTGTGTGTGTGTGTGTGTGTGTGTGTGTGTGTGTGTGTGTGTGTGTGTGTGTGTGTGTGTGTGTGTGTGTGTGTGTGTGTGTGTGTGTGTGTGTGTGTGTGTGTGTGTGTGTGTGTGTGTGTGTGTGTGTGTGTGTGTGTGTGTGTGTGTGTGTGGCCCGGAGGACAGAGGACAGGAGAACGCACAGCTAATTAATTAAATAATTTGGTTCTGTACCTTTCTCTTCAGCACAGCCGACAAAGGTTTAAGATGGGTCAGTCCGTCAGCTTCACAGAGCTTCCCTTCCCTTGCTTGAAAAATTGTTCCAAAATGAAAGTTGAACCCACATCTTTTTTTATCTGTGAATTCAATGCCGTTCGGCGAGTCTCAAATAAAAATTAGGGCATCTTACTGTAAAAAAATATACCATTAATGTAGAAAATAAACTCTACATAAATTACGTTCACATCAAGAATCGAACCCAGATCTTCTGCACGAGAGTCCGACGTCTAACTAAGTGAGCTACAGCGCCAGTTATGTCTTTCGTATCTGTAGCTTTTATATCCTTGATAATAGCTGAAACAAAGTTCAAAGAACGGTTCGGAGCGAAAATGTCTATTTTGTTGCTAATTTGCAGGAAATATCTAGAAGAAAGTAGCTAAGAGTCCTCAGAAATGTAGCTAGGTTCATCACTAGGCGTTAGGAACAGCGACAAAGTCGCTGAGTTGGCACTACCTCACTCCCTGCTGCTAAAGCTACGGATAGCAAATGCTACATGCTACGCCTGAGCGTGAACGCGCATGAAGCAGCCTGCTCGACCCGAGCAGCTCTCTTTTTCTGTGATTTTACAGAAAAACAGGCAATCACAGTAAAAATGCCAGGGCTCATTCTACAGGACCAGGGCATTGCAGGAGAATGTATGAAGAAGAAATTTATTATTTCTATACATGTTTTGGCTGTCAAACTTCCATAATGCCCCTTTAAAGCAACAGCTTTCAGAAGAGAGTTAAAGGATTTTGGTAAAAGATTAAATTGTGATTTTTCTGGCAGAAATCTTGATTTCAATTTAATTGATATTTATTTAAATCAAGCTTCAGCACAATATACACAATGTGCATTAATATTTACAAACATGACAGGAAATGCCATACCATCAAAACACTAAAACATTTCTCCAATAATGCAAAGATAAAAAAATTAATTGCTTTCGAATATATTTATTTAAAACAAAATGTATGCAGTGTTTTCCCTGCTCTGTTTTACTGAATGTGTATTTCTCACAAAAACACTGCTGTTAACACGAACATTCATTCATTATTGTAGCTCAGTATGCCCCATTAGAAAAACTCAAACTTTATTTTTAAGGAGAGTCCACTTAGTGGTATTACGGTAAAACCCTTTCTGCTGTTGCAGGAAGCGGGTGAATCAGCCTCTCCGCCCCATATTTACAAACGGTGCAGAGTGATGGACAGAAAATAAGAAACAAAGATATAAGATCGGAGCCATTAATAGCTTTCCTTTAAAAATAACTAATAAACCTAAATAAAAGACCAAATGTAGAGCTCAGTTGGCTCAAGCATCAGGCTCGGCTTCTGCAAGTTGTAGCACACCAACTAACTATGTAAAAGAATTATCAAGTGCTGCTGATGGAAATATGTCAAATTCCCAAGAAGAGCTGCTTTGAAACCTAATCAACTCATTGCTGTTATCCTTTAGGACAGGCTTGCTTGTATTAATCATATGCTGTTTACGTTTCACGGAGGCTGTGGATTAGATTAGGTTTAAGATTCTAGTGGGATCTACGAGGGTTTAATCAAAGACATACTTGTCCCGGGGAAGCTCCCAGCGGGGATCCTGGGGTAGTTCATATTCTGACACTCCTGACAGCATTGGAGTGCCACTGGAGGAGAGGCGGGTGGGACGCACCAGCATCACTCCTGAATGGATGGAGGAGCTCGAGTCCACGGACACCTGAGGTAAGAAAGAGTGACATTACTTTTCTCAAAGTGGAACAGACACCGGTAGAATGAGTTTAGCTAGCCAGAGGTGAACCAATAAAAAAGAAACAATCCCGCGTGTGTGTGTGTGTGTGTGTGTGTGTGTGTGTATATATATATATATATATATATATATATATATAAACCTTGTAAAAACACTGATGCGGTTTGGAGTTGGAGCACTCATCAGAAACTCACCTGATGTAAATACTTTCAACAAACCTAAAAACAATGCGCTTCTGTCATGACAGCAGCAAAACAAGCTCAAGTCAAAACTTAACAAATCCTGCATTTATAAAAATATACGGGGGGGGGGGGGGGGGGGGGGATTGGAAAGTATAAATATGCCAAACCCCCTATCTACTTTCTGTTACCTGTCTGCGCAGAGGGATGCTTTTGGCCAGCTTGTGGACAGCCAGCTGGCTGTTGAAGTCGCTTTTCTTTGAGGTGCTGCGCATCTTGACAATTATTGTGGTGGTAATCATGACTAAGATGAAGAAGAAGCCCACACAGTAAATGACAACCTCCAGGTAGTTGTGGCTGGCAGGGGGGTATGGTGTGGCTGCTGGATGGGAAGCAGGGAAGGGTAAGCTTTTAAGAACACACACACAAACACACACACACACAAACACACACACACAAACCTCTGCCTAACAGTCAGGGCCTTTGAGGCTTTTACAATAAAACTACCAATCACCTCCCAGATGTTTCCTTCTGTGTGGTACAACATCTTAGTCCTTAGGAGACTTTACGGGTTAGTGTAGACATGATAGGAACAAGTACTTCTAGTAGAAAACTGTTTGAGTCATACGTTCATCAGTCCAAGAGTAAGGGGCTATCTTTGTTCATGCACTGAGGTGACTGGTATAGAAATATTTTAAGTGCCTAGGATCTGACTTTTAGACAGAATTTCAATATTTTTTCCACAAAGTTCAAAAACAGGCTGAACTTAATGTTAGACTCAGTTAACCTTAAGTCTGATGTCTTCTCACTTTAGTGAGATGTAATTTTAAGTTACTCTAACAGTGTTTGTTTTGGTACGCTTAAGTGGAATTTTCAGAAAATACATTACCACTTGGAAAAGTACTGTACAAATTCAGTTCTTGTTTTTTTCCTCCCACTTAATGAAAACACCCACATTTATACAAACTAGAGGAAGGAGTGTAAATTATTCCACGTTTCAAGGTAAAAATGTCTGCAATATAGTTTGGTTTGGGAAGCTGCCTCGCACACAGGAAACAACTCAGACGCCAGTTCCAGACAAACTGTCTAAACTCTCACCGACTAATGTTTATCCAACTTTTCAGGGTCATTGTTGATACATTTCCACCTTTTTTCTGAAAAATTCCAGTGACAGAAGATGTAGCGGAACGCTCAACAGTGTCCTAACAAATCTAGTAAATAAGATCTGGCTGTAAGGGTCCTTCGACTTCTTAGAAGCTGAAAGTGCAGAATTGGACGTTGAACACAACAAATATGTTCACAGTGAAGAAGACTGCAACAGTCTCTCCGGTCCGTGGTGTGATGCAAGGAGACTACTGAACACAAATTTTGCTGCAGAACACTAAAGTAGAGGCACTCTATAAATCTTTCTACTGAGGACTGCAGCTACACAGCCAAGGGACGTGAAACTATGTAGAGGATGGAGCTGGAGTACACTGGTCAGTGCAAGACTTTAATTGATGTAAACGCTACTAAAGTGGGGCAGACACTGCGACTTTTTCACTCGTAGCATTCAGCTTCAGCTGTTCCACATCCCCAAAGAGCAAATCTTACGAGTAATGTGCTCACACTGTACGACCCAGTTCTCGGATGCGACCTGACTGCTCACACCGTTTTGTTTATTTTTATTTGACGCTTTTATCCAAAGCGACATACAATTTTTAACTTGTAGGGCATGTTGTGATCTGTGGGGGAAACCGGAGTACCCAGAGGAAACCCACGCATAAATGGGGAGAACATGCAACTCCACTCAGAAAGGTCACAGCCGAGTTTTGAACCTGCAACCTTATTGCTGCGAGGCAACAGTGCTAACAACTGCACCACCATGCAGCACACACTGTACGTCTGGTAGCAACACGTCGGACCTACAAATGTGCTAAAAATAGCAGTTTTTACACAACACGTCAGACTTTATTGTATTGTTATTGATGTCTATTGTTCTTCGGGAGTGCTGTAGGGGACACAGGGATTTATGGAGGTTGGATGAAAACGAAAGAAAGAAAGTATCAATCATCAGAGATATCAAGACATAAATCAATAATGTATCCGTTTAATTTGATATAAACACAGCAAACACGCTTTCTTGACAAATCTTGTCAATGTGTGTGGAAAAAAAGTGTATGAATAAAACTGAATGCAGTGTGCTAATAGGGAGCCCAACTCATGCCCATCTACTTCGGGACCATGGGTCCCCAGAAGAACGAAAAAATGAATCCAAGTCAATGGGGCTAAAACGCTATTCTCCAATTCCGCTTGTTATGTGACATGGATTTGATATGATGTCCGTGAACTTTAAAGACGCATTTTGATACCAAGAAAGCAAATATTTCTGAATTGGGGGAAACACTATTTTGGATTTTGTGGGAAAAGTACATCCAGGACTACAAATGTGTTCACCAAATTGATGTAATCAAACTAGACACGGAGAAAAGCAGAGGGAAAATGGCTTTAAGTTTAGCAAGGAAAGAGCCACCATAAATCTGGCTACGCATAGATATGCAAGGTACGTAGCAGCTATGCTAGGGGAAAGAAGAACTATTTCTAAAGGGTGTCATTAGGTGTGTTTTCATTGTCAGAACGTCAGGGTAACTGTACAAGAATTTCTTGGCATGCTCTTGTCTCCTCTTCATCAGGACATTTTCAGGAACCAATAAAATCCTACAGTATCCTAGCCTGGCAAGCCAGACTCTTCTCTCTCTCTCTCTCTATATATATATATATATATTAGGGATGAGCCGGATACTCGTTTCAGACGAGTATCCGGTACGGATAAAGCATTTTTGACGAGTACGAGCATGAAACGAGTAAAACTCGTAAATATCTGTAATCGTGCTGAAGGAAAATCCTCATTGGGTAACTGACTGTCTTCACGCTCTGTGATTGGCCAGTTAAATAAGAGCGCCCGCCCCTCCCTACACACAAGACTGCAGCCGGGAGCTCTGCTCAGTCCGCGTCCGGTGTCGGTACAGGATCTGCTCGGGGTCCTTCGACTGCCGATGACGTAAAAGTACGGCAAACCCACTCGGACAAAATACACTACACATCTATACTGCTGGAAAGAATTTAGCAGTTTCGTTATTAAAATAATGTTTATTAAGACGTAAGTTTGTGTTTATAATGGTATTTGTAAAATAAAACACTATATTGTATTCATAATGTTGAACTCCTCTTTGAGCACATCCCTAGAAGGATCATAGGTATTAGCAACACCTGTGAAATTGTATTTGCAGGAAAGAAGTGTGTCCCGTTTATTGAAGTATTTTGTGTTTAGATTTTGACGTCTTGTCCATGCGTAGTTCAGTTACGCTCATAGCTGCTAGCCAAAACTCTGGAGTTAAAAGTTTTCTGGCTTTACTAAAATACCTGTCTGTACTTATTTGATTGATGGTAGTTTTACTTTCTATTAGACTCCAAATGTAATCATTTGGCATGTTTCTAATACATAATTTGTAAGAATGTAATCGGTGATATTAGCATTAGCATTCCTATGGGTTTTTCCATGTATATTAGCATTGTGCTAACAACTCTCTGCCAAATTGCAGCCTTTGCGATTAGAAAATCTCCTGTTGTCACATCGCAATTTAATTGCACATGCAGTTAATCGTTCAGCCCTAATATACATGCAGCTCTATGCTAAAAGTGTATTTTCAAAGAGGTAATGATGGATTTCTTTGTAAAAGTTGTCCATCTTTCCAACAGAAAGATTTGCCTGGACCAACGTAACGTGATAACGTAACGTGATTACGTAATTCCGTAAGGTTCATGTTCAGCCAATCAACTACTTTGACGTCATCGGCAGTCGACGGACCCCGAGCCAATCTTGCACCCGAGCAGATCTTGTACCGACACCGGTCCATCCACGCACACACACAGACAGTATCGGATCTCTCTGTGCTTGCCTCACTGTTTACGTTTCTTCAGTACTCCCTATGTTTACTTCGGTTTGCTTCTTTTTAAAGTTAAAGTTATTTAAAGTTACTTTTTTTGTAACGTACATGGTGCTGCGACCCCCCCCCCCCCTCCTCTTCCTCAGGATCCACTTGCTCTTTCCTATTCACTCTCTCTCTCTTTCTTTACATTTTTTTAAATCACAACAATTTTTTGCTCATTTTAAATATATTTTAATCATTTTCTAAATAATTTTTTCTATTTTACAAGTTTTGTTTTTGTGAAGCGCCCCATGATTTTTTATCTTGAGAGGCGCTATAGAAAAGATATTTTCTTCTCTCTCTCTCTCTTAATTCATGCACTTAAATGTTAATGTTCTGATTTTATTGAAAAACTTGTTCTGAAATAGTTCCTTTACTATTGTGATCAAAAACATTTAATCTCAACTCTGAGGCTGCTCTGTAAATAGTTTTCAAATAAACAATACACATAGCAACTTCTGATCAGACTTAAAATAACGTATTGATGCTAACCACACCCACTTCCGGTTAAACTACACCCACTTCCGGGTTAGGCCACGCCCACTCCGAGTACAGATACAAATAATTTAGATGGTTGACCAGATACAGATACAGATAGTGTTGTACTCGCTCATCCCTAACATATATATTTATATATATATATAATTTCTTCAGTCTTTGGGGCAGCAGTAGCTCAGGTGGTAGTGTGGGTTGCCCCATGATCGGAGGGTCATGGGTTACTGCCTAGGGTTCTGCTGTTGTGTCACTGGGCAAGACACTTCACCCAACATGCCTATGTTGCTGCTGCTGTTTGGATCGCTGGCTGTAATGCACATAACACACAAGCTTGCAATATAAAGAAGAACAACACCTGTCCCCCTCCAGCTCGGCTGTGTGACGGCACTAACCTGTCCTGTGTGACCCTCACCATGTAACCCTCATGTCCATGCTGTCTCTGGAGGAGCAGATAGGAGACAAGATCTCCTGTAACTTCAAATGAACCAAAGCTTCCTCAAAGTTTCTCTTTAAGCTGAATTTAACATCAGTTTATCATCATGAAACAAAAGAATAAAGTGGAACAAGAACTTTTATCTTCTGTGTGTCTCTCCTTTTAACTTCTCTGTGTCCCTAAATAAGATGATTGCGCTGCAGCCGCCATCACTCACCCCGCTCCCTCCCCAAGACCGGATGTGCCGACATCACAACACTCGGTCTGACTGAGCGCTTCCAGGAGAAACAATAATGAAATTATGAAAATAATAACGCGTGTTTGGAGGAGTGTCCTCCGATCCTTTCTCTTGTGTGAGCAGACAATCTCCCTCTCTCTCTGTAGCTGATCGAGCGCTCCGTGCAACAACCCACTCAATTAACGGTTCGGGTTCGGTCTCATGTTATAACTCCAGCGCTCAGCCCTGCAGTACCACATAAAGGCAGACCAAAGTTTCCTACCCGGTAAATGTGGAGAACACCGCTCTGACAGATTTGGATGCTGCGCTGGTACTGCCATTAAAATAACACAACTATATTCCACTATAGTTGGTTATGGTACTCTTCTATGATGCAGAATTGTTTATGCCCACATCTCATGCATTGACTATTTGATTATTTTCCTCAGCTCTATCTATCCTACACCTCTTGGTCGGCCGTCAGGGGTGGGGGGTGCGCGCGGGGTTTGGGGGCCACAAAGATGGCTCGCGGGCCAGACGTGGCCCGCGGGCCGCCATTTGAGGACCACTGGTGTATGGTATTTATTTTAAATACTTTTATTATGATTCTTAGTGGGCTTTCTAAACTTATTTTGGCGTAGCTTTTTCTGTCTTATTACTCATAGCAACAAGTAAACATCACGTAAAACGTTGCCTCGTGATTTCTGCGTGCTGCTGTTTACGTGTCTTATGATCACAGCAATTAACCGGCTAAGCTGTATTTAATTTTTAAGCAATGGTTGATCAATTGTCAGATCACAAATAAAAAGCACTTTGGATTGCTATTATCTGCCTCACCGAGACAGATCTCAGACAGATCCTGAGGCGCTCCTGCCTGACATATTTATTTTATTCACAGAAAAAAATCAGACTAGTGATTTCTCTTGGCGTTCAGTTTATACATTCAAACTGCACAGCACTCTAATTAAACTTTTACATGTAAATCCATGTTATTTGTGTTTTTCAGGCTTTTATATGCTCTTAGCGATGCTCCGGAGTAGGACGAGGGAAAATTAACAAGGAAATTTTAAATGTCAGGGTATCTCAAATCCGGTAAGAGGTCCGCTCCGACAGCTTCTGGCATTTTAAAAAGTATTCCAGGGGCACGGTAAGGGTCGGAGATGTTTAGTCTATTTAATTTCAGACTATATAAAACAATTTCTTTGGTTTTAAAGTGTGAAGTAAACTCCGACGAAGTAAAATCCAAGTCGACCCCGTTCATTTTGTTTACCTTTGTTGCTGCCAACATGGCGTCTACTTTCTGAGAGTCACGTGACGTCCGGAGCTCTATGGAGCATTCCTAGACCAAGAATTTGGTCTAGTTCACTACGCTAACAGTATCCATGATGACTAGGATGGAGGTCTTCAACATCAGCAACTTTTGCTCCAGAGATTGATCGACTCATCCTTTGGTGCCCCGGCTCTGGCTCCTCCCTGAAATTTGCATCATGAGATTTGAAGAGCTCTTTGTACTATTCGTTCCTGAGCTGAGGGCAGCACCTCCTCATAACCACAGGCCAAAAACCCAGTCACCTGCTCGCACACAGGCCCCAACACCAGACCTGGCTCCAGGATGGGACCTCTAATCTTCCAGGCCAGGCATTCTTGTAGTACACTCATAATTGGTCACTGTGCTTTTTCTCAACCTTCATCTAGGACCAGTCTATTATGGTAGACCCCATCAGGATGGAAAACGCACTCATACAGCGTAGCTCCACGGATTATTATGGAAATCAAAGTCCTCCACTATGATAAGGTGTCCTTTAAAGGAGGAAACTTTCAGCTAACTCTTCCACATGAAAACAGTGAGTCGCAGGTTCATTACAGACACTGTAGCCGAGATGTTTTGTTTCAAATAAATAAATAATGCCCAAAGTGTCTCAGAAGATATGAGACTCAGACTGAAGCCAGTTAACGACATGTTAGCAGCTGGAAGGTGGCCATAAAAAAGTTCAGCATCATGATGATAATCACCAGCCAACTAGGACATAATTATAACACCAAAACATAGTTTAAAGCTATATTATAGATTAAATATGAAATTATGTGTCATTTAGGTTAACTTATTTTACTAAGTCCTGATTCTATATTATCTTCAGAAAACACTTATGTGAGATACTTTAAACAAGACTGAAATGTTTCTACATGCAGATCTTTGACGGCCCTAAAAAGAAAGCTTGTTGTGCTCAACAAAATATCCCCATAGCCTTATTTTTTGTACACTGAATTGTTGAATTAGAGGAGAAAAAAATGGTTGAATCATAAAATGTATATAGAGGTAGGCAATCCTGGTCCTCGAGTGCCGCTATCCAACATGTTTTAGTTGTTTTCCTGTTCCATCGGGTGTGTTGGAGCAGATAAACAACTAAAACCTGCTGGATGGCAGCACTCGAGGACCAGGATAGCCTACCCTGATGTATATATAGCATTTAGAAAATAAACTTAGTCTAAGTTTGCTGCAAACAAATGAAATTTACAATTTTATTCAAAAAGTATAAATTACTATTAGTCTTATTTTCTACAATTTGTTCTGGAAAGGCTCCGTGTCAAGTGCATCCCAAACCAAGTATACCAGCTGACGTGGAAGCCTCTAACAAACATAAGTGACCAACACCTGAGTGAAAAGGCAGACTGACAAGCAGCTTGATAATTGGGGAAGTGTCCATTCCCATATCCCCAGGAATGAGACACATCCTCTGCAGCAGGCCAATTATCAAAGTCAGCCACTTCGCTTAGCAGCAAATGACATCATCAATGTGTCATTTTGTGGTGCTTGTCAAATAAAATCAGTCTTGTACCAATTTCAATGCAAACACCCAAAAAAGAGCAGAAAGGAATAGATAGTTGAAAGTGAAATGTGATCAGAGCTGCCAAACAACCCAGCTGTAAATATCAGCCATCTGGTGACTCTGGTGATGTTTTGCTTTTATAAGACCTGGATTGCTCTTGGGCTGTTTGGCATTTGCTGATTTGATTTAAGAAACAGCAGAGCATATCTCATATTCTGCTCCATCTTGAGAATTAAGATGGAGCAGGAGCCATGCTGAGCTCAAAGACCGGGGGAATGTTTAGTACTTGTAATGCGCCCCGGCTTCCGTTCACATTTTCTTCCACCAGAAAAGCAGTCATAAAGCACTTCTTTCTGGTGAAAGTGAAGACGGACAGCCAGGCTTCGACTGGAAAAAGGAAAACAGTGAAAATGTAAGAGACAGAACCACTGATACCTTCCAAAACGGTCAACCATGCAGTGTGATGAGAGAACCCGATAGAATTGCCCGCCAAGCAGGTATACTCCCCAGCGTCATCAAAAGACACATTTCTCAGATGAAGGACTTCCATTTCCTTGTCCGTGGTGTTAAGGCCAGCAGTCTAGAAAATAAAGGAAGTAGACCCAACAAGGCCCAAGAGGAAAATGGGACCATGAATAAAGAATTCTGACAAAGAAAGAGGATGGAGGAGCGTTCTCCCCCTCAGTCCAACACCATCTGCCCAAAAGGAAACACACCAAGAAACCCCTCAGAGGACCCTTGTCAGGAAGAGCCCTCTGGTATCTGTTAGTGGAAAAAAACATGGTTAGGTTGAGTCTACACAGCTAAACTTCACATTGGGTCAAACCATCACCACGTAAAATACCTCTTATCTCATCTCTACATGCAAGAGATGGGCATGGAAACCTCCACAGCAGAGCAGACACATACACACACCACACACCAAAGTGCATAAACATAAGCAGATGACAACAAGGGAAGGGAAAAACACAAAAGACATGAGTTTGTGAGCGGTGCACTTGGACTTTGATGGGAAAGGAAGCAAGAGTAATAGAAGATGGCAGGAGGGGCCCATATTAGGAGGGCAAAGCAGAGGCACGGGGCAGGAATGAGTGGGTCCAACATAAACCTGAGACTAAACACATTCAACTGCTCTGCTGGGAATTTTCCATAGCGTCATTTACAGTCAGGAGCACCGAGGAGAGGAAATTGAAGGCAGGAAGGGAGGAGAGAAACAGCTGAGGTTGTCTCAGGTTATAAGACTAGTTTTTCCAGGTGGTCCTAGAAATGCCTCCAATGTGTCATTCCTGTTCCGCTGCGTGGTGGTTACCTGTGGGGTCATATTTGATGACAGTCAGCCAGGCTGACTGATTGGCCTCTCCTATATAATTGGACACCTTACAAATATACTCTCCGCTCTCCTCCTCAGTCACATTGTAGAGCGTAAGCACCTGAGCGTCCGAGCTATTGACCCCCGAATGCTAGAAATAAAAACAAATCATAATATACAGAACAAGAAAACAGCAGACAGAACGTGACCTTAGATAACTCGGGGAGATATTTCTAATAAAATCTAAAAATAAAAGATTATTTTTACAGGCTGTTCTGAGTAACGAAGGAAATGATTAACAAGGGACAGCAAACTCATCCAGCATTGATCAGCTGTTCTACATAAACGGTTATAAAGACTGAATGCTCCTACCTTAAGAACTCGGACGAAGGGTAAACCATCTGATCCAACTCGGCTCCCATTGACTTCAACATGTTTTAGCCACTGAATATGAGGCTGAGGGTCGCTAAACACCTTGCACTCAAACTCCACATCACTACCAACCACTGCTGTGCGATTGGCCGGCAGGCCAGCCTGCAGGATCGGTCTGTGGGGGGAACGTTCTGAAACGCAACAGAAAGGAGCAGCAATGTTCGTTTTGACTTTTGGTGAGCAGTGAGGCAGATGCTTCATGTTAAAGACAAACAGGTGTTCATTCATTTGGAACATGCATACGGCTGACTGATCGTCAAACACAAGCCAAATAAAACCAGCCATTCTGCAGATAGATAATACAATTAGCCAGGGCAGGCGGCAAAGAACATTAAACATTATAAAAACCTGTTTTTGGAAAAACCCACTTTTAGGATAATGCTTTAAAAAGTAAAGTTATATGCTGCTTAAGTGTTGTTTTTAGCACTTGCAGTACATAGTATCACATCAGAAGATTGAGTCTACGCTCTTGTGGCTTCATTTTGATGACTAATTATTCTCCAAAGCAACCTTAAATCCAAAGAAACTGGTAGGATGTCAACTGCACAAGCTTTTCTAACAAGAGACGTCCTTCATCTGTTAGTGCACACTTATGATCGTACTTTCCTCTAACTACAACACACTCTAAGCTCATCAGGCTCTCGATCTTAACTTGGACCAGAGAAAGCCCAGGGGACGAGAACGATGGAGGAAGTGGGACTGATTTATAAGGCCAATAGTTTAAGAGCGAGACACAGGGCAGGCCTAAGAGGAGTAATTACTTCTCCCCTCAACATGGATCCATCACTCAACAAGTAAACACAGAGGCAGTTAAACAAAACTGGAACAAAAAGGCATCAGTACTGTGTTCCAGAGCCAACTGGATCACGTTTGATCAGGGCCCAGCATAAAACTATGGTTGCCAGTCTGGCCAGTGAAGAGCCGGAGCCAGGATCATCCAGCTCTAGTGAATGAGCCTGACACTGCCCCTCCTCCTCCTCTCTCCCGGGCTGCTGAGGAGCACAGCTGAGCTGAATCTTTCTGATGAGCAAACACCTGCATAAAGGGCTGTGCCTTCAGCAGTCTGGGAGGCAGCAGTGCAGGGGTTCTGCTGTCCTCCTGGGTTTTGTTTGGTTTCAACCCCTTTTTGGTTGCATTCGTTTGGAGTTTTAAACTGTGGTAGTTTTTAAATCTTGGTGATAAGTTTTTTAAAGGTTAACTCTATTTGGTGCAATTTTACTGACTTTGGTTTTTAAACACCTTCATGTGGTAAAGCTTTTAAAATAAGCTTTTACCAGGTGTTCTAATCAGTTGTTTGGGACTTTTTATCAACTTTGGGATTTTAAAACACCTTCTGCTCGGTTAAACTTTTAATATAAGTTTTAACCAGGTGTTTTATAGTTGATAATTTGGCTGTGTAATGTTAACCTTTTTAGAGAGATCTGTTTGCTTGTGTTTTAATACCTTTTTGTTACAAATAAACCCATTTTAAACTCCTCCGCCAGTTCTTATGTTACCCCCATCCTTCACATTTTTACAACACCTGTCGGGAACGTAACAGGTGATTGAGATCAAGAATTACGAGACAGAAACTTATTAGGGTCTTCATCAACTCTTACCGACTACATCCAGCTGGTAGGTGTGGTTAATGCTGCCATACTGGTTTTCCACCACACAGGTATAGTTTCCCTTATCAGAGGGCACTACAGACTCCATGATGATGGTCCACACATGGTCACGGACCTAATGTTGCAGAAAAAGGGTAAACAGTTTACTGTATGGGAAAGACTAAAGGGGTTATTATATTAAAAATAAGACAGAATGGATACAATGGTTTATATGCATGTGCCTCAACATTTGTTATTTGCACCAACTGACGTCTGGCTCTCTCTCGCTGAGAGATGTTATAATTTTTCCTTCCATAAATCTGCCAAGACCGGCAGTGTGTGATTAGCCAGTGAACCTCTAAGGCAATGCTAACATCAAACATGCATATACACACACCGAGCCATTCAGCCTCCCTCATTTAGCTAAAATACGTGATGGAGTCCAGCTGCCTGCTGCCAGATGTGCTGTGCTTGGCTTCATATGCACGTGGTCTACATTACTCCAGCACTCCCGCACATCTCTGTAGATATGAACAATAGAAGCTGTGTCATAAAAGCAACAGCGTTGGAATGATGAGGCACCTTTTAGTCCGTGATGCAGACTTTTGCACTTTCACTAAAAATAAACATATAAATAAATGAAGAAATGCTGTCAACAGATGTGCTGCCTCGCTGGGTGGAGGGTTTAGCAGGGACTAGGGGCACCAGAGAGGAAACTCCTAAATGTGTCCCAGCTGTGGAGGGAGAAGGCTGGGGAAGAAAGGCAGCAGGCTGGATTAGCCTACACCTTGATGAGAGCAACAGACGTGTGTAAGAGAGTAGATTGTTTTTTAGACTCTCTGCATCCCACACCTGTGAGAAAATAATCACTGAATGTAATTTCCTTAAGTTAGAAGCGGGTTAACCTGGTTCCAACACTTTTAATCCCTTAAATCTGTAATCAATAACAAATAAAGTGTAGAATTAAAGTTTATTCCAGTCCCTAAAAATCAAATTAGTTGAATATATACAATTGTAACATTTAGAGCCTTTACACAACAGCATAAAGAAATCCATAAAAGATCCAACCCATCAGGTAAGACTAGAATCGAGGTAATAGTCCTATCCATCTTTATTTCATTTCAACCCTTACAAATTTAAATACAGGCTGCAGGCAAACAGGAAGAAATTTAGACAGAGTAATCACATTACCTTCACGAATACAGGAGGTAAATTTACTACTGCATGGATGTAATTACGGAAAAGATGATCAGTGTCACCCAGGAAGAGGACAGCGAGCTGCTTTGCTTCACCTAAACAGATGGCTAGGACTGCCGACCTAAAGGTATAACTGTAGCACAATATTCCTTCTGATAGCATAGGGTTTCAAACAGCATTGTGTCTCAAGTCAACTGTGAAACTTGTCTCTCCTATACACCCGCAGAAAGTGCTTTACTCCAGGGGAGGAGCTGTGAGCTAATGTGGAGATATCTGACTCTTCATCTTGGTAGTGAAACATCCCAGAATTAAAAATAGAAGGTAAAACAGTTGGAAGTGTCAATAGGAGGAAAAGATGATCAACGCTAATTTCTTATTTACCTTGAAGCCCCCGATTCGATGGTCTCTCTTAAACTCCTTTCCGTTCTTATACCATTTCAGAGTGGGAGTTGGGTTGCCGCTGGCCTGACATCGAAACTTCACTGTCTTACTGGCAGGAACAGCGTGAAGCTTCTTCTCCATTTTTTCTGGATGAGCCCACTGCGGGGCCATTGCTATTCACAAGAGCAAAATACATGCTTTAAATGAAGGGAATTTAAAACATTTAGAATTTTTAACTAAAGAATTATCTGGTTAAAAAGAAACAAAAAGTGGTCTTAGGAAAACAAAAATTTCTTGCAGACTGCCCACAACCTTAGTGGTGGGAATTAAAACCCTGATTGTTTCAGATTTCCACTCATCTGAACAAATCACCTTAATTAAGGACACTCTCTGCCTGTAAAATATTTGTAAGAATTATTTGGGCCATTTAAAGCTAAAAATTTACATTTATTTTCATTTTTTTTGTCATTTTTGGAAAAGCAGTGACTGATTTGAAAGGGACATTAGATACAGAGTATGCAGTGGGTACAGAAAGTATTCAGGCTTGTCAATTTTTCAAACTTAAATTGCCGCCATTTGCTAAATCAATTAAATTCATTTTTGTCATTAATGTCCACGCAGCAACCCATGTTGACAGAAAAACACTGAATGTTAGAAATTTATGCAGATTTATTAAAAAAGACAAACTGAAGTATCACATGGTCCTTAGTATTCAGACCCTTTGCTCAGTATTTGGCAGAAGCACCCTTATGAGCTAATGCAGCAATGATCTTAGTAAAGATGCAACAGGTTTCTTACACCTGGATTTGGGGATCCTCTCCACTTCTGTCAGGTTGGATGGCGAACGTTGGTGGACAGCCATTTTTAGGTCTCTCTAGAGATGCTCAATTGAGTTTTAGTCGGGGCAAGTGATGAGCAGTGCCTGGTTTTCTCCACACACCACCACTTAGAAGTAAGGGCAAACGTTCTATCTTGGTCTCCTCAGACCAGAGAATCTTATTTCTCATCATCTCAGGGCCCTTCAGGTGTCTTTTAGCAAGTGCTTCCATTTAAGGATTATGGAGGCCACTGTGCTCTTAGGAACTTTAGGTGCAGCAGAGATATTTTGTAACCTTGGCCAGATCTGGGCCTTGCCACAATTCTGTCTCTGCGCTCTTCAGGCAGTTCCTTTGACCTCATGATTCTCATTTGCTCTGACATGCATTGTGAGCTGTAAGGTCTTGTATAGACAGGTGTGTGGCTTTCCTAATCAAGTCCAATCAGGGTAATGAACACAGGTGGATTCCAATGAAGGTGTACCATCTCAAGGATGATCAGAAGAAATGGAAAGCACCCGAGGTAAATATACGAGTGTCACTGCAAAAGGTCTGAATACTTAGGACCATGTGATATCAGTTTTTCTTGTTTAATAACTCTGCAGAAATTTCTGTCAATATGGGGTGCTGTGTGTACATTAATAATGAAAAAAATTATTTAATTGATTTTAGCAAGTGAATGCAATATAACAAAGTGAATGTTGACAGGGGCCTGAATACTTTCTGTACCCACTGTATCAGATAAAACCAAAATGCCAAGTATAAACTAGACCACAACCGAATGCATTCAAAATCACAGTCATCACAAAAACATTTCAAGTTTAAAAGCTTGGCAGTTCTTTTTAATTAAAAACAAACACTTTAATTAAAAACTCCAGCTTCAAAAAAGTCATTTGTGGAGTGCAAATTTCATTGAGAGATAAGTCGGGCAACAAACTCAAGGTCGACATGCTTTTCATGCTTGGCAGCTACTGGATTCTTTGTGGGCTGAGCGGGAAGTAGCAAGAAGATGAGAAAGCCAAACTGTTTTAATTACACTATAGACAAGTTGGGGCTCATCCAAGGTTAACCACGATTAATCACCACAGGAACATTAATCATGTAAGAGCCGTCACGGAGGCAGTGGAGAAGGTCTGAATCTGAGTGAAATAATTAGCCCGGTTGTGACCCACACACACGGCACGCCTATAATCGAATTATAAAGCTCTGAAATCACTGGCTGTTCCCAACAATTACTCACAATCCTTCTTGGGTGAGTCAATAATCAGCAATGGTAGTATATGGAGATCTGACCACTTACGCATCAGCTTCTGACTGGCCAACTGCTTGTTTTCTTCTGATGAAGACTCCTCTTCATCGTCATCATCCTCAGATGATGCCAATATATCAACTAGTGGGCAGAAAAGCATTTTGGGAACTCAACTTTATGTACATTCAGTTTCACCAGTGATGCAACATTAAAGGACAAGAGGTCTTGAAGTTATAACAAAAAAAAAAAAAGAAAAAAAAAGACAACACTAAAAATTCACTTCATTTGTCAGATTTGTGAAAATAAACCTATTTTGAATCTTGCAAAAAGAATCATTCCTACCTTGGAAGTTATTTGCAACATAAGACGAGTAAATGAGTATTTATGACCTGCTTATTAAAATGCAGCCTAACTACTAAAATAAACAGGAAATATTCAATCGTGCATCTCTAACAAAATCAGAAGCACAGCAAGCAAGAATTACACATGAAAACATTTTACAGTTTTGTGTTTTTGTACCTGACACATTAAAGAACACACTGTGGTTGCCAAAGGTGGTGCATCCATACAAGCCAGAGTCTGTCAGCTCCACGGCCTCGATCTCCAGCTGACCGTTGTGGATGTGGGCGTGTTCTCCATCCACAAGAGCAGCATGGTCTTTGGTCCAGTTCACAGTGTGGATGGAGTCTTTGGGAGAGCAGCTCAGATACAGGCGATTCCCAAGAAACAGGGTGAACAGCTCTGCTTCCACAGGGACTACAAAGGAAGCAAGTTACTGGTTACTGACTTCCTTACGGCCCACACCACTTAACCTTGATGATGGTTTTAACCACCAGCACAAAAGCCATGAAAGCACACCAGCATTACACTAGAAGCTCCATTACTTCTTTAAAACATAATGATTTGGTTCTTTGACTGCTGCTATTGGATCAGCACCTTTTTAATCATATTAACTGAATGCTGAGGCACAGCTGAGGTGCGATAGTGGTCCCATCACAAATAGAACATTTGAAGGGAGCTTAAATCTTTGTTCGAATACTATATAATGAAAAATATTGACAAATTGCATAATGCTACCACAAATTGAAAATGTGTGCAAACAAACAAAGACTGTAGCCCCCACTGTAAAATAATCACAAAAGCACTTTGTTGATTTGTTTGAACCATATCTGCAGAACCAAAGGAAGGTGAGATTAAATTAAAGGAATGAAAAAAGGAAAGGTGTCAAGAAGAGAGACACCTGAGCCCTCCTATTCCAAACGACTACATAAACTGGTAGGAATAGGAAACACAATTATGTTGACGCACTGTCCATCACAGCATGTTTTTGAGTAAACTATTTCAAATATTGTGGTACATTAATTTTATGCTGTCTAAACATTTTGTTAGTTAAAAAAACAAAACACTTCATTTCTATTTGGTAGATTTATTGTTTTAATCCTTTCTGAAATTGCTTAATTCATCTCTTGGGTGTATCTTTTTTATTCTCTACATTGCCCCTTTGACATCAACACAAAAGCCTAATTAGATAATCAAATACCACAGAGGTGAACAATTCCTCGATTTAAAATTATTCTGAAACATTTTCAAAAGCAGGTTTTAATACACTTCCCCCTGATTACAACAGGAAGCACATCTATACAGAATAACATCAGGACAACATCATCCAATCTGACTAATCCCTCCCACCATGACAACAAAGGACTTCAAACAATACAAGGGGAGAGAAAACAAAGAGAGCAAGCCAGTGAGCATGTGCACCGCAGTGACTAAAGAGCGGGCTTGCAGTGGCAGGTTCCAGTGCCAGTTGCTATGGTGACCTCACTTGGGCCTAGTAAAGGTATTTCCTGGCTCACATATGTCTGACAGGCCCTTAATCCCAGCAGGAAAAAGGGGCCAGGGGGTAGGATCAACTTTCTCCTCAAAACCAAAGTAGGGGAGGAAGAAGCAGCAGCATTTGGACCCGTCTACATCAAGCGGTTAGAAATGAAAGGGGTGACATTACAAAGAGGAAACAGTGTACTTGGGATTTCACTGAAATGTTGTTTTACCAAAACACAAGTTTGAACATCCATTAATTTTGCGTTAGTTGAAAATGACATTAACATCCAGTTAACCTCTTCTCTTCAGCTGTCCAACTTTGTCATCCAATGATTTTGGTCATCTAGCTCAGTTGAAAGTAATTGGGTGTTCTTGTTAGTTGAGTGCTAGTATAAGCTCACGTATTCTGCTGAATGCCTTTACACATTGTATCAATGAGCTCAATGTGTTAGTCTTAGCTTTAGACGATAATCAGCCAAGTAAAAAAAAACATGTTTGCTGGGTTCCCACTGACATTCACATGGACTTTTCTTAATATTTTTGAGACTGCATTCCAACAGGGCTAACATATCCTCCATCTTTTGGTATGATCTTAAAACAAGCGTTTCTAACGGCTGCTAAATATGGTTTAACACCAGCTAGCAACACACACAAGCAAACCTACAGTTCTGCTCTAAACCGAACCTCATCCCACTCACTTTGTGATCGAGACTGACACTAGGCAGCTCAGCTGGCTCCACTTCCTGTTTGGTTGCTTCAATGAGAACAAGCGTTCACTGTACAGAAAAGGTGTTCAGTGCAGCGGGGGAGGACATTCAATGTAACAGTTAGATGGATAAGTTATGAGTCAACAATACAGGCACCAACATGGACCAGCATTGGCTTGGCGTCTGGAAAAACATCTCCTTCTGCCCCCCTTTATTTGACTTTCTGCTTCCTTTATTTTGGTCCAAGATCATTAACGGGCTGGCCCTATTAAAAACATTCTACACCCCTGCTATGTAAGGGAAACACTATATTGTGATAAAGTTCATTATTGTCTGTAATGTACTGATAAACATTAGACTTTCATATATATTAGATTCATTACACACAACGGAAGTAGTTCAAGCCTTTTATTGTTTCTAAAATTGATGATTTTGGCGTACAGCTCATGAAAACCCAAAATTCCGATCTCAAAAAATTAGCATATTTCCTCCGACCAATAAAAGAAAAGTGTTTGATACAAAAAAAGTCAACCTTCAAATAATTATGTTCAGTTATGCACTCATTACTTGGTCGGGAATCTTTTTGCAGAAATGACTGCTTCAATGCGGCGTGGCATGGAGGCAATCAGCCTGTGGCACTCCTGAGGTGTTACGGAGGCCCAGGATGCTTCGATAGCGGCCTTAAGCTCATCCAGAGTGTTGGGTCTTGTGTCTCTCAACTTTCTCTTCACAATATCCCCCAGATTCTCTACGGGGTTCAGGTCAGGAGAGTTGGCAAGCCAATTGAGCACAGTAATACCATGGTCAGTAAACCATTTATCACTGGTTTTGGCACTGTGGGCAGGTGCTAGGTCGTGCTGAAAAATTAAATCTTCATCTCCATTAAGCTTTTCAGCAGATGGAAGCATGAAGTGATCCTCCTGACAGCTAGCTGCATTGACCCTGCCCTTGATAAAACACAGTGGACCAACACCAGCAGCTGACATGGCACCCCAGACCATCACTGACTGTGGGTACTTGACACTGGACTTCAGGCATTTTGGCATTTCCCTCTCCTCAGTCTTCCTCCAGACTCTGGCACCTTGATTTCCAAATGACAAGCAAAATTAGCTTTCATCTGAAAAAAGTACTTTGGACCACTGAGCAACTGTCCAGTGCTGCTTCTCTGTAGTCCAGGTCAGGCGCTTCTGCCGCTGTTTCTGGTTCAAAATTGGTTTGACCTGGGGAATGTGGCACCTGTAGCCCATTTCCTGCACACGCCTGTACACAGTGGCTCTGGATGTTTCTACTCCAGACTCAGTCCACTGCTTCCGCAGGTCCCCCAAGGTCTGGAATCTGTCCTTGTCCACAATCTTCCTCAGGGTCCGGTCACCTCTTCTCGTTGTGCAGCGTTTTTTGCCACACTTTTTCCTTCCCACAGACTTCCCACTGACGTGCGCTCTGGGGAACAGCCTGTTTGTTCAGAAATTTCTTTCTGTGTCTTACCCTCTTGCTTGAGGGTGTCAACGATGGCCTTCTGGACAGCAGTCAGGTCGGCAGTCTTACCCATGATTGCGGTTTTGAGTAATGAACCAGGCTGGGAGTTTTTAAAGGCCTCAGGAATCTTTTGCAGGTGTTTAGAGTTAACTAGTTGATTCAGATGATTAGGTTAATAGCTCGTTTAGAGAACCTTTTCATTATATGCTAATTTTTTTGAGATAGGAATTTTGGGTTTTCATGAGCTGTATGCCAAAATCATCAATATTTGAAACTAGGGATGGGTACCTTTGACATTTGAATCGATCCGGTACTAATTCCCGGTACCTACGAGTCGATACCGGTACTTAACGGTACCAATTTTCGATACTTTTGAGTATTATTTTAATTCTCTTTTATAATTAAATATATATTTTTCTCAGTATATAACCATATTTGATAAATATCACGATAAATATCATACAAGTTTGTATTTTAACATCGTCCTTGTAGTTTTATAAGCTGATAATTAAAATGAAGCAAACATCTTTACTGTGAACTAAATTTACTGTATCTTCATTCCTTTTGCCGTCCTTTTTCATTTGATTTTTCCTACTGGGAAGTTAGAATTTCCGAGGAGAAAGCGAATGCACCATTAGCTGATAACAACGGTGGCAATGGAAGCTAACATATCAAGCTAACGTTATCTTTAACAGTTTATTTAGCTGCTGGAGCAGATTAAAACGATGATGCCTCAAACTTAGATCGTTGTCACTGGTTTTACCTTCACCCAATCACCCGTCGCATTTAGTAAAGTAAAGCCAAACTTTAGAGCGCGTTCATGTTCTTCTAGTCGGAAATTCGGAGTTCCGAGGAGAAAGCGAACGCACCATTAGCGAAACGGAAGCTAACAAATCAAGGTAACGTTATCTTAAACATTTTATTTACCTACTGGAGCAGATTAAGATGAGGATGTCTCACTTAGATCGTTGTCTGTCGCTTGTTTCATCACCCAGTTACCCATCACATTTAGTGAAGTGGACCCAAGTTTTAGCGTGCGTTCTTTCTACCATGCTTGCTCTGTTTACAACGGGCTCGCAGGGACCGGCGACATAACGCTCTTGCGCATGCGCAACTGTCTTGGCAGTACCGAAACGAGGCACCGTTTGAAATGACGTGAATCGGTGTTCGGTCGGTACTATGGAATTCGGTCGGTACCTTAAAAAGTACCGAATTCGGTACTCATCCCTATTTGAAACAATAAAAGGCTTGAACTACTTCAGTTGTGTGTAATGAATCTAATATATATGAAAGTAATTTTATCATTACAGAAAATAATTAACTTGATCACAATATGCAAATTTTTTGACAAGGACCTGTACCTCCTGGTAGCACTAGGCATAGCCATCTTTAAATTTGGGATCTTGGGGACCTCTGAAACCTACGAGTTCGCAGCTCGGAATTCTGAGTTCATTGCGTCATTTCTGGCTAACTATCTCGGAAAAATGGGTTCCGAGGACAACTGGAACGCACCATTACGTCAGTTTTGCATCCCCTAAAGCTGGGCGGAAACTGTGCGATTTTTTCATTTTTTTGAGGTGATTTTCCACTTGTGCGAGAATCCACAATATTGGGGCGAGTTTTGCGCTGAGCGTCGTGTAGTATACAGGGGGTTACGAGAAGCGATTAACACCACGTGACCAGCTACCGATCAGCAATCATGAGCTCGCACGGACTTCTGAAGTGTTTGATATTTTGCTCATTCCTCGTAAG